GGAAACCCCAACCCGAGCCGACCCGAGCCGTGCCGTACCGTACTGAGCCGTGCCGAGCCGAGTCGTACCACGCAGTGGAAAAGCGCCAATAGAGTACTAGTTTGCATATTCATAGCTAAGTATGTCTATCTATCGATCTATACATTACCAAGGTCATCAGGGGTCTGCAGCACAGAGTGGTGCATTTTCTCATCCAGCTGTAGATCTTTATGCTGGACGTGTTCGGCAGTCAGCGTGGCGGGGGATGGCGTCTGTGATCGTGAGCCTCCCAGAGAGTGCATTGGAGACGCGCTCTCAGAACCTGAGGAAACATCAAGAGCATCAACACTTAGATCTCTAAACATGACACAGAAATGTCATACAGCATATGGGAACACTGTGACTGATACCAGAGTGTTCTGAAGCAAGGAATCAAGTAGCAGATGCTTTTACCCAAAGAAACTTTCTGTACACTTAAAGGAATAGTTCTTTTCAAAAATTTTGTTATCATTTACTCACCCTCATGTTGTTCCAAACCTGTATGAGTTTCTCTCTTATGTTGAACACAAAAGATGATATTATGAAGAATACTGAAGAACCAAACAGTTGTTGGTCCCCATTGACTTCCATAGTACGGAAACTGTGGAAGTCAATGGGGACCATCAACTGTTTGATTACCAGCATTCTTAAAAATATCTTCTTTTGTGTTCAACATAAGAAAGAAACTCATACAGGTTTGGAATGACATGAGGGTGACTAAATGATAACAAAATTTTCATTTCTGGGTGAACTATCCCTTTAACATGGGGAATGTTCGTTGGTTAGGTTTAGTTTGGATAGTTTTGGGTTTACCAAACAACACCCTAGTGCTCTTGAAAATAAGGGTTAGAGATTATGCTGTTTGTGTGGACTTAAGTATGGTATGCAATCGGAATGAAAGCAATCTGGGTTAATTGCCCGAGGGAACCACTACTGATGATGAATTATTTGCCTTTTACAGTATAATGTGTTTCTCATTGCTGCTGGTTTCTGCAGAAATTACATTCGGTGAGCAGTTCACATTCTTTGCATTACATGCAATGCAACTACAACATATGTGTTGTTCTGTGCATGTTAAAATTGAAACTTAAACCTAAAGAAAACTTGTGAATGGTTTGGAATTAGGGCTGTGAATCTTTGGGTAGACAGCGATTCAATTCGATTCACGATTCATAGGTTTTTGATTCGAATCAAGAACGATTTTTGCAAATTTAGAACGATTCAATTCGATTCGATTCACAATTAAATTCGATTTGATTCGATTAACGATTTTATTCTGCATTCTTTAAGTGCATTCACAGGATTATTTAAATGCTTCCCCTAAATTCTTTAAATGCTTAGTCAGGGGGCAAATTACACAGCAGCCTTAATGGTTACAGAACCATAGGTTAGAAAAAAATAAAAAATACTTTTGTCCATTGTTAGATGCTAGTTTAATGATGCTATGGCATGACATGGCATATGTAGAAATTTATGTAAGCCAAGATTTTAAAAAAGAACTTTAAAAGTATTATGTATAGGCTAACATTTTGTCACACCAGGGGCGTAGCCATCATTTCAGAAGTGACAGAAATGTCAAATACAATAATTTTATGTATGTATGTATTATTATAATTATTTTTTATTTTTTTTACAAGGAATTCTTTACTTATCTATTACTTTGAATTTGCTATAAGAAATCAAATACACTGCTGGACAATAATCAATCATTTGTAAAGTATAATTTTTTCCTAATGGCAATTTTATGATTGTTTTATATACTACAAACAATTATTTCAATTTTCTGCACAGAATATGGTAGAAAATATACTTTATAATTTCTGTACTGTAATAAATGATATGTCAATTAGCACTGCATCATTCATAAATTGTATTTATTTATTGTGTTTATTGTCTTAATGTTTCATCAGTTCATTCTGCTTTTTATTCAGATTAGCTGCAGATATAGCCTGGCACATCTTAAGTTCTATGAGCGCGAGATCAATTCTCTTTAGTGCGAAAACTTCTTTGTCTCATTTTCATAAAATAAAATGCTATAGTGTTTGACTTTTCCTCTCCATCGGCGAATGATGATTCTGAAAGAAAACGTGCCGATGTCTGTTTGCTATAGCAACGAACACTACTTTCATGCATCTGATTATCAGATACACTTTGCACTCTTATTTCAAGGTTATTTTAACAGTTTCCTTCGTACACTCGGTTCAACGACATTGTTAAAACACATTTATCATTCAATGGAACTGTGCATATGCTTCAGACACTTACATTTTTGCTCCATCCATGTAATAAATGCGCAGCCTTCGACTGCTCAGGTAATGTCGTCGAGAGCCATTGAAAAACTACAGAAAAGTAAAACTACTTCACTTTAACATTACTGGCCACGAGTACTAAGGAGAGATTACACATCAGCTGCTCAAAAAATGCGTCAGTGAGACGAACGGAGCGCGAGCGCAATCCTGTGACAGTCACAGGCGGTTAGTGGAGCGCGCGAAGGAGAGATGCGAGGCACGAACACTGTTCAAAGTCTCCATTAATTCGTGCTTGTAGTAATTTAATGTGTATATATTTTGAAAGCATTGAATCGTTATAGAAATCGCGATTCATTCGATTCTTAGCGTTTTAAATCGATTACTGTCCGAAATCGGCGATTCACGATTCAAAAATTATGTTTCAAGATCGATGCATATGCATCGTCAGGGTTTGTAATCGATGCATCGATAAAACGAGTGAATCGTTACACCCCTATTTGGAATCAAATAGTAAAATACTGAAAATTAATCAAATATGCATTAAGACCAAGAAATCAAAACAACAGTTATGTATTTGCAAGTTTTTAAATTCAAATTTCAAACCACAAGAGCTTACGTTGAATTAAATGCCAGGTACAGTTTAATATCCAGTCTGCACATTTATTTATTTATTTATTTTACCTATTAATTTAATTTTATTTATTTCCTTTTTTATTTACTTATATGCCAATAATTACAGACCGTATTGCGATTTACTGTCTTTCCGTCCCCCAAAAATGAAAGACTTCTTAAAATGATGACTTTTGTTATCTATGTTTCTTACAGTGATTATAGCAGTTCATAACCTACAAACTTCCTGTCCTCTACACCCTGTTGTATATGAGTGTGAGAGAGTGTACCAGTAATGGTGACAGTGTCAGCTGACAGGCCATGCTGACTGAGGCTGCTGGTCTCTGAGTCAATGTGGAGTGTTGTGAGACTGGAAAGCTCCTGTTCCTCTGCGGTCTGACCTGCTCCTCCCAAACTATCCTGATCAACAGAGGCCAGAGTACATGTTTCAGGGGGGAAGCTGAAATCTGCAGACAAACACACAGGTTCATTATCAAACTTCTTTTAAAACCCAGTACTGGTTTGTCCCTTTAAATTCCACCTGAACTACTTACTTTCAAATTTGTTGTCATACTGAAAAGCATTGAAGGAATCTGATTGGCTGTCGGAGCTTATGAGGTCACTTCCACTGGCGCTGGCTGGGGAGGTCCACTCAGAGGGCACACCGGGGTCGTCTGCAGGACGCGTGGCGTTCTGACGGTTCAGGAGCTCTGGTAGATCTTTGGGGATCTCCAGACTTCCTGGGCTACTGCCACGCCTTGTCATGCCCTAAAAAGAACATAGGAAAACCATAATATACACTAAAAATAACATACAACAGCAGAATCAAAAACTGGATTATCTAGTTAAGCATTATGCAGCATTTAGCAGACACGTGATAAGCTGTTCAAGTTTAGATAGAACTATGCTTTAATTAGATGTAGTTTTAGAGACTATGCATACTGAATGTTTGCATGGACATACAGAAGTGCCTCTGGCCCTCAGTCTCTCCTGGATGAACTCGTCCATGAGGTCACTGACATTAGGGTTGCTGGTGCCAGCATCGTTGGACATGGGCCTCATCTTCGGCGTCAGCTCATCTTTATTGGCTGAGACAACAGGCACAGAAAGACACATCAGTATTTTACAGGGACCTCCCAAAAAGGGTGCAAACACAGATGACCTAGCAGAATGACATGTACTAACTGACTCTCTGTTTGTAGTGGTGTCTGACTCTCTCTACAGCACTTGAATATAATTATGAATTAGTTTATTTGAGTTTGGGGACGGTGAGTAAATAAACACATTTTTCTTAAAGGACAACAGTGCCATTTAGTTTTTTGCTCATGTTTTACATTCGCCTTTTTCATATCTTTTTTTTTTTTGACAATGGCAATCTGTTCAGATTCAATTAATAAAATATATATTTTACTTCATAGTTTTGGGGTGGGTAAGGTGTTTTAATGTTTTTAAAAGAAGTTACAAAAATATAATAAAAAAATTATATTGTAAATTATTGCAATTTAAAATAACTGTAATTGAATAATTTATTTTAAAATGCAATTCATTCCTGTGACTGTAATGCTGGATTTTCAACAGTAATTACTCCCGTCTTCAGTGTCACATGATCCTTCAGAAATAATTTTAATGTTGATTTGCTCAAGAAATATTTCCAATTTTCAATGATAAAATCAGTTTTTGGAAACTGATATTTTTCATATTTTTGTGAAAACTGTGATACATTTTTTGTTTAGGATTCTTTTATTAATAGAAAGTTCAAAAGAATACCATTTATTTGATATAGAAACTTTGTTAAATATAACTTCACTGTAACTTTTTATCGATTTAATACGTCCTTATTGTACGTGCCCATTAAGTATTAATTTCTTTTAGAAATAAACATATAAATACATCGTACTGACCCCAAACTTTTGAATCTACATTAAACTTTAACAAGACAGTAAAATAGTTTGTGGTGAAAAACTGAGCAAATGAAAATCAGCACTATTGCCCTTTAAACACAACCAAAATCCTTTGACATTAAACTCATAAAACACTAAACCAGAACACACACAGAAAAACAAAATCTTTAACGGAAGCCAACCACAAAACTGATTTCAGTTTTGAAGCGAAGCAGTTACTCACAGTTCATGCAGTCCCCAAACAGAGACAGACAGACAGACAGACAGAGAGACAGAGCAAACCCTGGAAGTCCAAACCTAAGAGTTAGTGAGCCTTATGCTGACTGAGGTTAAAGTGAGACAGCAGTGAGTATGTTAGAGGAGCCACCCACAACAAGACGAGGCAGCCTTCATCCCAAAGCAAAGGGTTAGGGAGCCACTGGTTAACAACAAATCATACCAACACGGCAGCACAACATGGTGGGGTGGTGACATTGGGCATTTGGATACTTCTAGAAGTCTGGTTAGTTTAGACTACAAGCTGTGTTTAAGTCATGAGGCCCCTGATTAACTAATAGCTTGTGCAACTGAACTGTCCACAGGAGCCATTCTAAGGTGATTCCTGCTACTACACTACAGGCAAGCTGGCAAGCTTTTAACACACAGTACCAGTTTAGAAAACAGTGCTCTTTGAGAGTGATAGTGCTGCACTCTACTGGCCATACAAAACATTGCACCTATGGCAACTACAACAATTGCATACTGTTGCAAGTTATCATCACACCTAATTCTGTCATCATTTACGCATTCTTATGTTGTTCCAGAACCTGTATAACTCAAAAGTTTATATATTGCAGTGCAGAGGGCTCAAAGTGCTTTTTCTCAAAACGGGAAACTATTGAGCTTTACAAATGACAAAATAGCATCACAAAAGTAGTGGTGTGCAATATATATTTTCTAGAATAATATCATAATTGTTGTTTTAACAAAGTGCAAGCTAAAACTATCAAGTATATCACTCACTTTAAAAAAACAAACAAATCAAAACATGCCTTAAGACTGTGCATTCACTGCATTATTCAGAATTATTAGAATGCAGATAGAATGCCAACGAAAACAGTTCCAAACAAAACTGTTGTGCAATGGTTTCTTAATTACGCTTATGAATGAATCATTTGAATGACTGACTTAATTACTTTTTTTCTTCTTCACTGACTTCACAAGCGTCATTAAATCTTTTAAATAATTTCATAATGCAAGTTTTTTTTTTTTATATATTCTATACACACATACAATTGTAATTGCAGTGTAAATGTATTCATGCTATCTCTTCATATTCTTCATATTTAAAGTGTCATTTAATTTTTTTAATTAAAAAACATTTCATTTCATTTTATTCAACTTTTCAGTATTAGTTTTTTTTTTGATCTAATATGTCTCTACACACATACATATGTCTGTGCAATCATACTATCGCACACCCCTAACGTATGACTAAGAAAGCCTACTTTTAAGGTGCTTTTTTTGTCATTTTTGAAGCCCTAGTTACCATTATAAAAAAGAACACTCAAGAAATTCCGCTAAACAACATGAGGTTATAAAAGATGAAAGAATTATAATTTTTGGGTGCACTATTCAGTAAAATGACGTTATTAAGAATTGTATAGATTAAAACACATAACATTAGGTTGTATTAAAGATCACTGTGTTTTATGAATGTGTCAGTGAGCATGTGTGTGCATGTACATGTGTGAGAGATTGACAGAGGGCGGGGAGGTAGGCATGAGGTCGCATGCAACATCCAGGGGAAGAGGGGCAGCAGAGATTAGGTCCCAGAAGCTTGAGGAGGAGGGGAAGCCGTCCCACAGGTAGGGGACCGTTGGTCTTTTGGGAGTCTTTTTTTTTTTTTTGGAATTGAGCTACTTTGAAAGAAAATACAAACAGAGGCTTCAATTCAATCCACATTCAGCAAAAATCAAACAGTCACAAGAAAAGAGAGAAAAAAAGGGAAAACGCACAGGCGCTTTGGTCACATTTTTCATGTCTTCCATGTTGACATCGAGCCGACCGAGTCCTCACCTGATGTTTTTCTTCCAAAATAGCCCATAACGTGAGTGTACAGGTCCTTCAGGTGGGCCTCAGGGGCAGCCGCTTTGCTGTGACGCTGGGGCGACGCTGCCTGGGCCTTGGGTTTGGAGAGAGCATGGACCATAGACTTATACACCCCGCCCAACAGCGCCACCTGCTGCTGCCGTGACGGGCTGCACCCTGACTCCTGAGACCTAGAACGGGACCCCCGTGGGCGGAGAGTCGGGCGGCCGAGTCGGCCGCGTCTAGCCCCGCTGATGGAGCCTCTATCCCGCTCGACCGCCTCGCAACAGGTGACCCCCTCCCCCACACCCTTGGCCGCTGCCCCACTCGCCCCAACCGAGTGGCTGCTGAAGTGGCCGAGACGGCGGAGACGGGTCTTCCAGTGCGCCTCTTTGGGGTCCAGAGGGTTGTGAAACTGCACAGACTCTGTGGATGGGCGGAAGCTGACGTGGACACCACCGCTGTGGCGTTTTTTGGGGTCAAGATGGGATAGCTTGGGCCTCGGTACAACCTGGGAAGCCTGCGGACTAAGCTCACTCTCGCTAGCCCTGTCTGTGGCGTTCTGCCGGTGTAACTGCGTGACTTTGCTGCCCTCTGCTGGCTGCGTACTAACACTTAAATCCCAATCACATTCTTCTAAGCACTCGTACAAACTTTTCTCACTCTGCTCCATCTCTTTATCCCATTCTAGCGCCCAATCCCCACTTCCTCCAAACTGCACCTGCCTGTTATCTACACCTGCTTCCACTTTGTCCTCCTTGCTACGAATCTCTCTAAAAGCGCAGAAGACGTCCTCCTCCCCTTCTCCCTCGATCTGATTGGTCGAGGCCACTGCTGGACAGGACCAATCAGGGATAAAGGGGGGTTGCTGCCCTGGCATCTGGCAGAGATGGTCATAGATGCTTTCGCCCACCTCCAGGGATGCCTGGTTGTCGGGGGGTTGGTGTGGGTCAGTAAGCTGGTGTGGGGTCGGGGAACTGTGGGGGGACTCAGAGGTGGTGGTGGTAAAGTGGGAGGAGTGAGAGGGACTGTCAGAGACAGGAAGTGCACCTTTGACCCGTTCTGCGATGAAGGGCTCCATGATGTCAGAGGCGCTGCTGCTGCGGGGGAGCGGAGGCTGCTCCAGCTCACCGGAGGCGGAAAACACCTCGGACGTTGGGGTCTCCTCACTTTGAGAGCAGTGGCGGATCCGCGACCCGCGCTGGACAATGGGAGGTTCCTCCAGGTCTGTACACGAACAGATATGTATCGATCAGCACATTTAAAGATGCAAGTGTGTTTACTCAAGAATATGGTCAGTACTATTATTTTAAAGACAAGTTTATATTTCAAGTCTTAAAATTTCAGATACCTAAGAGGTGATGAAAAGACCTAGAAAGTGTTATCATATTAACTGATCCACAGTGGCCACATTTTACATGCAAAAACACATGCATACATAAAACAATTAAATCTAATGAAATTTACAAATTAACCTCAAAGGTAAATTAAACATATAAGACCACAAGCAAAAAGAAAGCAAATCACTTTAAAAGACAAATGAATGCTTCTATTTTCACATTCTCCCAGTTGTTCTAGATAAATATTATGATCATGAAATGCAGACAAAGGTAAATCCTGTAGAAGGTATTTTTCTCAAAAGTTCTGGTTGTGAACAGGGATTATAGTGGATGAATGGTGATGCAAGAAGGATAATACTGTAGATTTTCAAAGACAAGGAAAAGAAACCAGTACAGACACAAACACACACACACACACAAATGCAGGACTCAATAGTTCTGTTGGGTGAAGCGCACACAAAGAAATGTCTGGGTCATGTTCCACCCCAAAATCAAACGAATAACAAAGAATAACCTTTAACTTGCATTATTATAAGCTGTAAATGCTAATTTCCACATATATTAATAGGTGTTACATTTTTTAAGTTAAAACTCAAATGTAACTAATGAATTTACATGAATGTACTCTGAACAATTAAAAGGGTATATTAAGAAATTAACATTAAACAAAACTAATAAATGTTACAAATTTTATTTATTGTTAAGTTTATGATAACTACTAAATTAACTATTGTTAACAAATTGTACCATATTGTAAAATTGTACCGATAATATTTATAATTTTTATAGTATTTCTAGCCAAAAAAATAATAATAAAAATAAAATAAATCCAGAAGGGAAAATATAATGGTAAAAATAGTATAAAATGTATTTTTTATTTCGGCAAAAGATTAATTTGAATTTGTGGATAAAAGTGACCAAAACATTTATTAACGTTTGTCTTGAGATTCATCCTGTCAGAGAGCATCTGCATCAATGCATGAGGCTTTAAAGCAATGATGAATGAGAAGGAAATCTTACACATTAAACACACAAAAAACTCATTCAGATCTATTAAATGAAAATTACTATACACATAAAACAGACAGGCAGGGGATGCTAACTAGAGGAAGTGTAGCACACATACATATACATGCACATCCATAGGCCGGGACGCAGTCAGAGGCGAGAGTGCCGATACGGGCGTAGAGGGCTCTACCTGACAGCTCGTCAGCTAGGGGAGTGAGGACAGAATCAGGCAGGAGAGGGTGTACGGGGTGGATCAGGACAGGTGCGCTTTTAGCACTGCGGATAAAGGCTGAGGACAGCAGACTGTCCCCCGTAGAGCAACTACGCAGAGCTACAGACCGCGCACACACCCAGAAAGAGAAAAAGAGAAGAACGACAAGAAGACGGAGAGTGTGAGAGAGAAAGGGAAATGGGGCAAAGAGCGATAAGGAGTGATAGAGGAACACAGGAGAAGTTAGGGAAGAGAAAGACATGATGGAGAGAGAGAAAAAGAGAAAGGGATGGCAGAAAGCAGTGAACATTACAAACAAGAGGTAAAGAAGTGACCTTATCAGTGCATATCAGATCAACACTGACATACACATGAACATAATGTCACTGGTATATCTAGATTGTGAAGTTTATAGGAGAAACAAGACTTGTTAAAGACATTCCATCTTGTTTTGGATGAGTCACATGGCAGTGTTTTTAAGGCTGCATTCCCATTTACAAACTATGTGCACTATGTAGTCTGTTAAATTAGGTGTTAGGTGACATATATTAAGGTATTAATATTACAAAATAGGAATTTTTATCATCACACAGTGTTGAAAATAGTATGTGAAAGCACCCAGATGCTATGCAGTACACACAACTGTTCAAAAGTTTGGGATCAGTACGATTTTTTATTAATTTTTTTTGAAGAAAAGACTTTTATTCAGTAAGGATGCATCAAGTTAATCAGAAAGTTAAAGACACTTTTAATGTTACAAAATATTTCTATTTCAAACAAATGCTGTTCTTTTGGACTTTGTCTTTATCAGCCTGAAAAAATGTATTACAAAAATATTAAGCAGCACAACTGTGTTTAACAATGATGACAATAAGAAATCTTTCTTAAACAGCAAATCAGCATATTAGAATGATTTCTGAAGGATCATGTGACACTGAAGACTGGAGTAATGATGCTGAAATTTCAGCTTTAAAATCTCAAGAATAAATTACATTTTAAAATATATTATAATAGAAAATAAGAGACTTCTTTCAAAAACATTTAAAAAATCTTAGCAACCCCAAACTTTTGAACAGTAGTGCATTATTGTACACCAGTCCATGCTTTATGGGTTAATATTACCCAGAATCCTTGCACTATAAAAAAGGAGTTTGTGAGTTATTCAGCTTCACAATGTTGTAAGTATGGCCAAAATAGCAGTAGTAATAATGAATTTTACAGTAATTAGTTTAACTAGAAGCTAATGCACAATATATGCAATAGATTATATGATATCAAAAGCAATTGTATTATATTATACTATCATAATACACTAACACAAGTGTAATACTGACAAAAAAGTGCATGCAAAGTATGATGCAATATGTGCAGTCACATTTATCATACTTTGCAGAATTTTTGTGGGTGAAATCCAGTCATTTCAATAGAAATCCACTCGACCTGGAATATCGTGTTAGGAGGATGAAATATTTTCCCAAGCAAATTTCGCAATAGGTTCAAGTTGGTTACATGAATACACTATGTTGCAAAGCTGCTTGGTTTGAAAGTGATATCTGTTTAAGTGGTGCTTTATACATCTCTACACTATTGACAACAGACATTTTTGCCCACAAAATTTTGCCGAAATTACACTAATGTGACTGCACCTTAAAGTACATCGTTTAACATGTTCTCTCCTTGTAAATATCTTCATATTTGCTCATCTTTGTCTTCCTGAACCAGGGTAACAGAGTAATGCAGATAAAAACATAAGCAAAGGTTGCACAATTTAAAGCAACCTAAAATAGGTTTAAACTGACAGGAAGAGAGGACAAGAAGGGTTTGAAACACACTCACCCACTGTCTTCTGTCTGACGATGCTTCTGGCCTTCTCGATGCCTGGTGAGCCAGCAGTGGTAGCGCTGCGCTGTCTCATGGCAGCAGCCTGGCCTGGTGGGTCTCGACTCCAGCCTTTGGAGAACGACCTATCCACAGTGATTTTCTGGCACTCATGGGCGCCACCTAGAGGTAGCAGGGACAAATATATAATGTATACTTTTGATAGTGAAGCTGGTATGAGAGCTTAAGTTTGCATGTGGTGCAACTACCTTCGTCTGTGTACAAGCATTAAAATTATTCATTGTGATTTTGTATTTTTGTACAAACTCACCTTTGCCTTTGTGTTTTTTCTGTTTCTGTTCACTGAGCTTGTCCAGGGGCAGCTCGTTCAGGTCCAGGCTGTAAAGGTTGCGTGCTAGTACCTTGGTAAGTGTCTCCATGGTGAGGGACCACTCAGTGACCAGCTCCTCCCAGCAGGTGAGAGATGAGAGTACAGACAGCAGGTCGTCCCACAGCTCCCGAGAGATGTACACATTCAGATTCCCTTTGATCCAGGCCACAATCAGAGTCTGAACAGGAAGACCGACCAAACAGAGTATGGACTACATCAGACACTTCAACATATAAACTAGAAATTATTTTAATTAATTTATTAAGTAATTTATTTAATTAATTAATTTACTTATTAATTAATTTAATCAATTATTAACTAGTTATTTTAGTTAATTATATATTATATAGTATTTAATTATATTCTAAACTAGCTTTTATTTTTATATTTTCAGTTTTAATTATAGATTAAGTTTTAGTAATTAAAAAAAAAAAATTTTTTTAAAGCTAACTGCTGTGGTATTTTAGTGGGGTGGTACCTGAAAAATGGCCCCAGCCAAACGGCCCGATAAAGTGTTACTCTTCTTCCCATGAGGCATAATAGATGGAGGCCTCTTCATCACACACTCAGTTACCCTTAGCAACACCAGCAAGATCTGCTCCCTGTGACAGACACAAATACAAACCGGATGAGCAGATATTACAAGCAGACACCGGAGACCAGAGTAATGAAGTGCAATGTCATGGTCATACCAGGTCTTCTGGTTCATGGTTTCATGCATGACCAGACTGCGGTATATATTGAGCACACGCTTGCACATGTCAACATGCTCTTCCAGAAGTGACTTCAGCTCATTGGCTGCCTCCAGAAGGAAGACGTTGGAGGAGTTGGTGATGAAAACCTGAAAGAAAAAAAGATTGTAGTGGTGAACTGAGACTGGAAGGAGAAATGTTTTACAAAACATTCCATGAACTGAACTCGGAAAAAATAATTAATAAAAAATAAATAGTCAACTACTTTTTGCAGGGTTTGAACCTACAATCTACAACCAACAATCTTTTGGTTTTCAGTCTAGATCGTAAACCACCTGTACACCAACACCTAAACTTACCTGTAGTGTGGCCTGGACACCAGCATGGACATTATACTCCAATACCTCAGAATCAGAGGATTTACTCCCAGAATTCCTACTACACCAATTAGGGTTTCGATTGTGAACGGACACCGTGAGCCCAATATCCTACACACAAAACAGAACAGACATTGACTGGTGTTTAAACAACAGCAGTACAGAATTAATAACAGATAATTGCTTAGATGGTCAATATAAAAACATATACTAACCGCCGCGCGCTCAATCCACTCAGCGCGCTTTGTTAATCAGCTCGCGCACATCAGCTATACAGGCGTTAATACTGAATGTTTAACATTATATTCATTGCATACATATACTTCGTAGTAGACATCCTTAACTCCATTCTGCTGTCTGTTGTTGGTGTTTCTTTGTTTGAATATGGCGCTTATCACATGCTGTGTGGTATCGGCGTTTGGTATCGGGGCATTTTAACGAGTACGAGTACAGGAGCTCAGTATCGGGCCCGATACCGATACCAGTATTGGCTTAGAAAAAGTACACACTTTTTGAATTGGGAAAAAATAATCCCTGATATAAGCTTCTTACATCAACTTAGCCAGACGGAAGCCAATAATAAAAACAAAAGTGAATATTAGCCAATACCAGCACTGTTATGCCTGATGCAAAAAAACAGGGACCAAGTTGTTGTGCAGGCTGACTCAGCGTGTAATAACCGCCTTTGCATTCCTCTGTTGTCAACTTCAGAGACACCTACCTCCTCCTCTTTATCAGTTCTCTGCTCGTGGGTGGAGTCCAGCTGGCCTGTGAATCGGTCTTCCTCTGGCTCTCTCATAAACACAGGCTTATCCTGCAGAGAGATCCACTCTTGATACACCCGCACCACCTTACGCATGGCTGCAGCCTCACACATGGGCAGCAGAAACGCCTGCAAAAATATAATACATATTATATTCACAGACAGAATCAGTGTACAGATAGTATATACTTAGGTATCAGTGACTAAAGAGGTCACACCAAAAAAAGGCTTTTGTACACATCAAGTGCACCATTTTGAACAGGGTCTTTGAGATCTTTAGAATATGGGCCATTACAATCCTTATTCATGTTTAACAATTCTCACACAGCAGTTCCTCTTTGTGAGCTCCAATCACCTTAGGACAAAGAAGTCCCTGATCAGAACAATCAACCTCTCTCATCACAACTTCTTCAAAATGTGCCAGACTTCTTCCTCTTTCAATGATATTTAGATTTGCTGAAGTCCTTCTGTTCCTCATGATAGAGTTACCTGTCGAAAGATCTCGGTGATAAAGTTGACATTGGTTCTAGAGGAGCACAGGACCCGGCGCACCACCTCAATGTCGGTGAGGTGTTCTTCGTCCATGCTGCAGAGGCTGGAGGAGCTGGGCTCTCTCTCCGTCAGGGTGCTGGTGTTGGAGTGCGACTGCTCCGGTTCGCCAGTTCCACCCCCATCCAGACCATCTGGTCTCAGGCCGCCATCCTCCCCTCGGGCAGCCAGGCCCGCTGCCGCTCTCTGAAACAGCAGAAGCATCGCAAAAACGTTCAGCTTGTTCAATGGTGTTGAGACAACACTAGGAGCTACCTGGGGTTAAATGTGTAACTGTGTAGCAAGACTTTAAACTACAACCTCCCGGTTACCAGTCGAGACCTTAGAGGGGTTGGTTCATCCAAAAATGAAAATTCTGTCATCATTTACTCACCCTCATGTAATTTCAAACCATAAGACTCTGGTTCATCTTTGAAACACAAACTAAGATATATAACCTGAGAGGTTTCTGCCCCTCCATTAAAAGTCCAGGAAACCAAAACGTTGAAGATAAAGACACTGCAAAACAAATCCATATTAACTGATTTAATCAATGTCTTATGAAGAGATACAATCACTTGATGAATAGACTTAATTCAGGCTTTTACTTAAATATAAACATAAATACATGGAGTGAATTACATATGGTGCATCACATGCTAGAACACTGGTTCTTGTGTATCATGCATGCACATTTGAGCTTCCGTGTTTGCCATATGTGATGTGCTCTATGTGTGTCGATCATTGTTTAGATGTAAATAAAAGCCTAAATTAAAGGCAGTTCACCCAAAGCCGTCATGTCGTTTCAAACCCATAAGACCTTCATTCATATTTGGAACACAAATTAAGATATTTTTGAGGCATTCTGAGAGCTCTCTGACCCTCCCATAGTTGTCTCCTCCGCGTCACCCTATAGCGCCATTTTGGAGAGTATCACGTACGTAAACAACGTATGTACGCGGATACGTTGTTTACATTCAGATCAAAGCTTAAACAACGTAAACAGCGTATCCGCGTACGGTGCTGCTGACACAGAACAGCACATACGTGGAGGAGACGAATAGTTGAATAAAGTCATTATTTTTGGTTTCTTTGCGCACAAAAAATTTTCTCGTAGCTTCGTAAAATTATGGTTGAACCACTGATGTCACATGGAATATTTTAACGATGTCCTTGCTATGTTTCTGAGCCTTGATCATGTATCCTTGCTGTCTATGGGAGGGTCAGAGAGCTCTCGGAATGCATCAAAAATATCTTTATTTGTGTTTCGAAGATGAACGAAGGTCTTACAGGTTTGGAACGACATGAGGGTGAGTAATTAATGACAGAATTTTCATTTTTGGGTGAATTATCCCTTTAAATCTTTTCATCACATGAAGCAAATGTATCTCTTCACAAGTCTTGGACTAAAGCACTTGATTCATAAGGATTAGTTTTACAATGCCTTTATGGACCTTATGGAAGTTTTGATAACCTGTAGATTTTCATTTTTGGATTAACTATCCCTTTTAAAAGTAACACCAACCCTAAAACTACATTAAAACCATTACTGCATCATACATGTGAAGATCTGTGTGTTGCTACCTGGATGTTCTTTGGCACGTTTTCTCCTTCCATGCCAGGGATGTGTGTTCCTGTGTTTGACCGCGGCTCCAGCCAGAAGGAGACTAGCCAGCGGATAAATATGACTCTAGCATTGAGGAAGTTCTCTTTAGTGCAGTACAGGGCTTCATTGGTCTCTGGGTCTCTTTTTACAACTATGTAGTAAGGCTTTGGTCTCATGGGTGGAACCTCTATTATAAAACAGGACACAAACCCAAATTAGACAGTTTATCATCCTGAGCAATTATAACTTGCTAAATAGTTCCTCAAAAACAAGGAGAAATAAAAATTAGGTTTGCTTTGACAAAGAAGGATGATAATTAACTCTTACCCAGAATTGGATTGTACAAACTGGTCTCCTTGGAGAAGTTGGGGAAGATATGGGGCAGGTAATACTTTTTGAAATTGGCGAACAAGAAGGCAAACCCCTTCTCGTGGTTCTCCTTGCACTTCCACTTGAGACTTTTGGCCTGTAGGGAGACAGAACACATAAGGAAAGCTGAGCACATACACAGCAGCTGGGACAGAACAGCCTGTTTGTGTTTGGTGGAGGACAGTGGGGTTGGTGGAGGCAGGCAGCGCGTGGTGCTGTTGTTTATGTTAGGGAGGGTGTGAAGCAGAGCAGCCGTTACAGCGCCAGGGAAACACATCGCTGCAGCAAGGGTATCTGGCATCAAATGCATGCAGATCTGGGGTCAGTCGGTGGCATGTAAGTTTGGTTTCCGCAGCTTTAGTGTTGGGTCTGCGCCAGCCGTGTTAGCGTCAGCAGTGTTAGTAGGAGGAGGGGAGTACCTGGTTTACCATGTATTTTAGTAGAGCCTCTAGGAAGTAGCCAGTTAGATCTTCCTGGGATTTGTCTCCTGACTGGGGCGGCACCAGGGGACTGATCTCCTCTGGGGTCACTTGAGCTGCAGAAATGGACAAAAACATGTTTACTTTGAAGATACTCAACACAAATCTTCCAGCACAGTCCACACAAAACATTTATTGAAGCTAAACTGCAGAACTGAGCAATTCAGAAGTAGTTGTGGTTATGGTATCACAACAATGAGCCAGTGTTGTTATTAATTAACAACTAAACAACTAAAACTATTACAAATAATGTGTTAACTGCTATCAATCTAATGTAAAATTCAATTTAAATATTTGTTAAAAATATAAATGAATATTAGAAACGTTGCTCTGGCAACTAACAGACAATAAGTTTAAGAACTAAAATTATAATTAAATAAAAATAAATTAAAGCTAAATAGAAATAATAAACACTAGAAAAAAGACAAAAGCAATCAGTAAACTTTCAAATTTAAACTAAAATTGAAATTAAAACAAATAATTCCAAACATTAATAAACCCTTTAATATAGCCAACAAAGGTAATTTAAATAAGTCTTAAAGCTACAGAGGCAAAAAAACATCCTGTTTCATTTTAAATGTCAGTGAGGGGACGGAAAATAGTCATGAAAAATTTAATTGACTATTTTGGTGAGAGAAATCTTGAATAACATTAAACATGTCCTTTAAAAATACTACAAAAGTATAAAAAAAATTTGTGAAAAAAAAGATGTGAGAGACTGCAAACAAACACTCACGCTCCTGAAGGTTAAGGGGAGGGCTGATCAGATTATCCAGGGTTCTAGGGCCAAGCTCGGACTGTGGTGCAGGGAATCCAGGGATTAGACAGGCGAAGATCCAGAGCTGCTCTCTCAGAGCGTTGTGCTGCAGAGCCTGCATCCACAGAAGGAAGAGACGCACCCCTTCCCTCCGGATCTATACACCAAACATACAACCACATTATTGGTTAAAATGATTTTTAGCAGCCTTCACAACCTTGGTTATGTCAGCAAAAAATAAAAACCCTTAATAACATGTACTGAATAATTATGCACTCTAAGACAAAACCATTTAAGAAAATAAGGAAACAAAACAAAACAAAAGAACAATAATCACTCATACAATGACAATGTTTATTGAGATTTTGACCTTTTATATAATGTAAATTATGTAATTATTTAGACATGTAATACCTTTAGGGAGTTTCCTGTGTGTAGCAGTTTCTTCAGAATGAGACCTATGAAGCAACACAGTAGTTTAATCTGAGGAACAAATTCATAGCTTATAAATGAGCTGGCTTACTAGATAATTCTGGAAAACATGTTTGCTCTGGTCTCTTTGCTTATAATCTGTCAGTGATGTTTATTTGTTTGTATGGAATGTGGGTTTATTAAGAAAAGAGCAAAGTAAAATAAATCTGAAAATCCTTCATGTTATTGTTAGTCACATATTGTTTATCTCACTGATGAAGGACTGTAATGTCAGAGTTCTCTGTCAGATCTGGGTGTTTCTGGGCCCCAGGTCCTTGGCATTCTCTGTGTTTATCTTGGTGGTCTGTGTATCCTTCTGCTAAAAGACTTCAGAGCAGAGGAAAAGGAGAGACCACCGGACAATACAAGATATTAAAACCACCTCAACCAGGCACAAAGTATCACCATCAGATCTCTTCCATGTGAAATTAAGATTTCTGCCCTATCTATATGTGAATTGGTTTCTGTTTTGGCTAAGCCCATAGTGAAAGCTCATTAGTCCAAAGCTACACTCCATTTACACTACCGGTGCAAAAGTTTGGGGTCAAGAAGACTTTTTTTTTCTTCTTTTTTTCCCTCAAATTAGTACTTTTAATTAGTACTAATTATTTACTTCAGCAAGGAAGCATTGAATTGACAAAAGCAACGGTGAGGACATTTATAATGTTATAAAAGATTTCTATTTCAAATAAATGCTTTTCTTTTGAACTTTCTATTTATCAAAGAATACAAAAAAACAGTTCCACAAATATATTAAGCAGCACAACTGTTTTCAACAATGATAATAATAATAAGAAATGTTTCTTGAGCGGCAAATGAGCATATTGTAATGATTTCTGAATGATCTTCTGAAACTGAAGACTGGAGTAATGGCTGCTGAAAATTCAGCTTTGCATCACAGAAATAAATGAAATTTTGAACTATATTCAAATAGAAAACAGTTAGTTTAAATTGTAAAAATATTTCACAATATTACTGTTTCTACAGTATTTTCAGGACATGGCTAACTGGGGGCTGGCTAATTTTCGTCATAAGCCATTTCATGGAAACTTGCTTATTAACACTGTGACTTCTGACTGTGTGTTTGCTGAGAGCACACAATGAGTAGGCCAGCTGAAAAACAACGCAATCGAAACCTGAAAAACATTAAACTATCAAACAACAGTGCAGAGAACATTCTCACGAGACAGTGGGTGAGAGATACAACGAAGAGCCGCAGGTCTTACCTTTCTGTTTCAGGTTAACCTCGATGGTGACGAAGTTTTCAAAGAACACATAGTAGATGTGGGAGTAATTCAGCTCGAAGAGGTGTTTGAGTTCAGCAGGCTCCGCATTTTCTACAAAAACAAAAAAACAATGAATCAACTAGTGATTTTAGGAGATGTTTTTTTTTCTGAAATCACTTTGGTAGAGTTGTACAATTTAAAACTGATTGATTTTCTTGGTGTTGTTTTAAAAGGAAATAAGTTTTGTCTCGGATAAGTTTTGTCTCTTAACAAATGTTTGGATGCCAAAAATCCCCAAATATGATAATCCCATTGCAGTGGACCCCACTGAATAAATGTAAAGGCAGCTAGCTACATATTTTGATGTATAACAGCCCATTTATACTGTGTGTGGGAAAAATATTATTAAGAGTGATATTAAGCCAACATGTTGTTTAAAAATACAATAACTGGCTTTTATACTGCTGTTGTACTAAAGCAAATTATGAAAATATTATCTGGAATTTTTTGTCATCTAGTTGACTGAGTAATCTTTAATGTATAAGTATGGATATAAATATTTTCGATTCATATAAATTTTATTTGTGCAGCACTTTTCACAATAAATATGACTCTTAGTGGTTTTACAGAGAACCATGTCCTACAAACTCCAATAAACAAGATAAAGACAACAGTGGCAAGGGAAGAACGTACACAAATGCCCACTTGTTGCTGCTTTCCTTCACTATCTGATCCAACTCATGCTTAATATCTTAAGCGTGGCCGTGGCTTAATTAAAATGTTAGTTTTATGAAGAAAAGCATGCTAAATAAATGCATACTTTATATAAATCTACAAACCAAATTTCATGCATTTATGCATAAACTTTTAGATCAAAAGATCTCCAAGATCTTGAGAAATAAATATTAGGCCTATGTCATTGTGTACGGTGTAAAATGCCCCTTTATGCTTTGTCTCTCTTTCATGAACACAATCTGTCCGGCTTCAGATTGGTCTCTTTCAGAAATCAGGATGTGAGCGGATCTCTTTACTGATGCTGAAGTCTATTGCAAGCCGCAGCCCAGCAACACAAGTCAATATTTGTACTTTAAAGCTCCTCCACGCAGTCCAGCTCGACTCATCACCCCTAATGCAGCTGGTCCTGGTCGCACGCTCACGCAGCATCCAGAGACCTCAGTCAAGTGCCCGCTCCAGTCTGTTTATAGATCTGGGAGCCAGCATGAACACCAGAGCCAACACAGAGACCTGGTCCAGATAAACCCTGATAAATATTCAGACCAAGGGTTACTTAGAATGATTTCTTATGAGACAGCATAAGCAGTTGAGGAGTCATAATTGTTCAGCAAATCACTTTGGGCTATGGGCATAATAGAAATACTGAGAGAGTAAAAATACTGTTTGAACTTCTCAAAATGATTCACTCTTGCCTGGATTGTCTTTTATAAAGAGAATACAAGGAAAACAGAAAGAAACATGAGAAATGTACTGTACAAGAAAGCATGCACAATTGCACGTTTTTTTATTGCCATTTTCAAAACATGATGTTTTTATTAATGCATTTTTTTCATGTCAATTTCAAAAACACCCTATTTATAAGGGCATTATTAGTGATGTGCAAATAAAACAAAATATTATTTTTTACATGCACATTACTGAACTCATTGTTTTTGTTTTATGTTTTATAGTAATTGACAACAGTATTATTTAGGGATGTCAAAAATAATAATGCTATAATAAAATATAATATTTCTAAATGAACATTATTAATAATATATTAATAGTTATTTTTTGTTTAGAAACCATTTGAACTTTGATTTATTAATGATTTGATCTCTTTGGGTACTCAGTTACAAAAATCCTCACAATGTCCATCCCTTATTCAAACTGACAATGACTAACATTGCAGTAGTGAACCAGAGCCCTACGAATTTTACAGATTGTGATGTATTTCAAAAATCTTTGAGAACAGACAGACGGAGGGGAATTTTGGCTTAAACTACACAACATGAGAGAGAACAGACCAACGGATGGTGCTACACTGGCTGTCGGAAATATTTGTGATCTAAAATAGAACACAGCAGCGAGCCCAAGTGCCTGACGGTGTATTAGAATCACTCAAAGATAATGGCCCTCATCTTTAAAGATGAACTGAACACCACGAAAAGAACAACGCCACAGATGCTCCCAAACTGTCAATCTCAAAGAATGCACAATGTATGAGGGTGCAGAACTAAATACAATCCTTTTGATGTCAGGATGTTGCCATGTGGTTGCTAGGTAGACACTTTCAAACCAAAGTAAACAGAATGTAAGTCTATGGGATTTTTCAATCATAATTTTAATTGCTTAGAAAAGCAATAGTATACCTCTTCTTAATGAGAAACCTTTAATATCCATAGTACAAATGGTGCAGGTCAAATTACATGTACTTTTTTAGTTTGTTCAAATCTCTAACCTTAAGTATGCACCGTAGTAATAGTGATGCAGTCATTTCAATATCTGTATCAATCAACCTTAATATCTGTGGTAGTTCACAAGTTATTGAGTGTGCAGCAATCTGTTGAGAGCTCATTTAATGATTGACTTCACATAAAATATGATTGTTGTTCACATCAGCAATTCTCAAGCCCAGCATGCTAAGGATGCTGATTGATCTGTTGCACAGAAAGGCTAATGTACTGATGCAGAACTTCAGCAGACTAGTCCGAACTAAATACACATTACATTCACAAGTTCACACAGTTCAAACAGTCCCACTTGCATTCAAATAACAGGTAGTTCTTAAAATCTCAAACAGTGTGTTTCCTATCAGAGCCATTTCTCTGCAAACACACCCATCCGTTTATTTAGGCTACTTCACTTCCTCAGGTCCCCCAATGCACAAAAGCTGTTGTGCACAGGCTCTGATAGGCCACAATAAGTGGATGCATGAAATGAATAGCGTTTCATATGTGAATGTTGAGCCTATCATTTTATAAAGAAAAACCAAAATGGACCAAACATAATAAAAATGCCCCGTTGCTGTAAATTCAGGGTGGAATCAGCTGGGACATGGTGATACAACATTAAATCAATATCTGGGTCATGATACCATAATATTTAGCAATTCTTCATGTTTAGTGCATTTAAACTTATATGCAATCTTTTTCACACTCACTTTTTGGTGCAATGTGAAGGTACTTGTTCAAAACTAAGATTTTATGCAGAAATTAATACTTTTATCCAGCAAGGACACAATAAATTGATCAAAAGTGACAGTGAAAACATTTATAATGTTATAAAATTTATATTTCAAATAAAAGCTGCTCTTCTGAACATCCTTTTCATGAATGAACAGTAAAAAAATATATATCATGGTTTCCATAAACTGTGATATTAAGCAGAACAACTGTTTTTAACACTGATAATAAAAAATAAAATGATTTTCGATAACCATAGCAACATATTAGAATGATTTCTGAAGGATCATGTGACACTGAAGACTGTAGTAATGGCTGCTGAAAATTCAGCTTTGCCATCGAGGGTGCAGAACTAAATACAATCCTTTTGATGTCAGGATGTTGCCATGTGGTTGCTAGGTAGACACTTTCAAACCAAAGTAAACAGAATGTAAGTCTATGGGATTTTTCAATCATAATTTTAATTGCTTAGAAAAGCAATAGTATACCTCTTCTTAATGAGAAACCTTTAATATCCATAGTACAAATGGTGCAGGTCAAATTACATGTACTTTTTTAGTTTGTTCAAATCTCTAACCTTAAGTATGCACCGTAGTAATAGTGATGCAGTCATTTCAATATCTGTATCAATCAACCTTAATATCTGTGGTAGTTCACAAGTTATTGAGTGTGCAGCAATCTGTTGAGAGCTCATTTAATGATTGACTTCACATAAAATATGATTGTTGTTCACATCAGCAATTCTCAAGCCCAGCATGCTAAGGATGCTGATTGATCTGTTGCACAGAAAGGCTAATGTACTGATGCAGAACTTCAGCAGACTAGTCCGAACTAAATACACATTACATTCACAAGTTCACACAGTTCAAACAGTCCCACTTGCATTCAAATAACAGGTAGTTCTTAAAATCTCAAACAGTGTGTTTCCTATCAGAGCCATTTCTCTGCAAACACACCCATCCGTTTATTTAGGCTACTTCACTTCCTCAGGTCCCCCAATGCACAAAAGCTGTTGTGCACAGGCTCTGATAGGCCACAATAAGTGGATGCATGAAATGAATAGCGTTTCATATGTGAATGTTGAGCCTATCATTTTATAAAGAAAAACCAAAATGGACCAAACATAATAAAAATGCCCCGTTGCTGTAAATTCAGGGTGGAATCAGCTGGGACATGGTGATACAACATTAAATCAATATCTGGGTCATGATACCATAATATTTAGCAATTCTTCATGTTTAGTGCATTTAAACTTATATGCAATCTTTTTCACACTCACTTTTTGGTGCAATGTGAAGGTACTTGTTCAAAACTAAGATTTTATGCAGAAATTAATACTTTTATCCAGCAAGGACACAATAAATTGATCAAAAGTGACAGTGAAAACATTTATAATGTTATAAAATTTATATTTCAAATAAAAGCTGCTCTTCTGAACATCCTTTTCATGAATGAACAGTAAAAAAATATATATCATGGTTTCCATAAACTGTGATATTAAGCAGAACAACTGTTTTTAACACTGATAATAAAAAATAAAATGATTTTCGAGAACCAAATCAACATATTAGAATGATTTCTGAAGGATCATGTGACACTGAAGACTGTAGTAATGGCTGCTGAAAATTCAGCTTTGCCATCACAGAAATAAATGACTTAATTTTAATATGTATTAATATAGGACCCTGTTATTTTAATTTGTAATAATTTTTCAAATGTTACTATTTCTTTTTTGTATTTTTAATAATTAAATAATTGCAGCCTCGCCCTCGGTGAGCATAAGAGACTTACTTTTAAAACTAAGCCCAAGCCCAGACTTTTAAACAGTAGTGTATATTCAGCTCATTTTTTTTAATTATTTGTCCAAAATGAACAAGTAATGCTACCACAGGTTTACTGACACTTTTCCCCTAAATATAAATGTAAAAAATGTAGCTGACTAAAAATACAGATTTTCTGCCATGTAAAGAATACAATATAGTGAGGCAGTAATGCAATTTTTCTAAATATCTTCTTCTTTTGAAATACACCTTTAAAAAGAATTAATCAGTCACATTACAACATAAACGCATATCTATCATTAGGGCCCGAGCACCGATGGTGTGAGGACCCTATTGGAATTGCTCCGAACAACTGTTTTTAACACTGATAATAAAAAATAAAATGATTTTCGAGAACCAAATCAACATATTAGAATGATTTCTGAAGGATCATGTGACACTGAAGACTGTAGTAATGGCTGCTGAAAATTCAGCTTTGCCATCACAGAAATAAATGACTTAATTTTAATATGTATTAATATAGGACCCTGTTATTTTAATTTGTAATAATTTTTCAAATGTTACTATTTCTTTTTTGTATTTTTAATAATTAAATAATTGCAGCCTCGCCCTCGGTGAGCATAAGAGACTTACTTTTAAAACTAAGCCCAAGCCCAGACTTTTAAACAGTAGTGTATATTCAGCTCATTTTTTTTTATTATTTGTCCAAAATGAACAAGTAATGCTACCACAGGTTTACTGACACTTTTCCCCTAAATATAAATGTAAAAAATGTAGCTGACTAAAAATACAGATTTTCTGCCATGTAAAGAATACAATATAGTGAGGCAGTAATGCAATTTTTCTAAATATCTTCTTCTTTTGAAATACACCTTTAAAAATAATTAATCAGTCACATTACAACATAAACGCATATCATTAGGGCCCGAGCACCGATGGTGTGAGGACCCTATTGGAATTGCTCCGTTTCTTATTATTCTTCTTCTTCTTCTTCTTCTTCTTCTTCTTCTCCAAAGTGAATCGCATTTTTGAGGGCCTAAACATTCTCCAAAACTCATGAAACGGCGGCCGCCGGCTCATTTTAGGATACAATTATAGCGCCACCTATTGGCAAAAGGAAGTGACATGTTTAACACTGTGATGCACTATTAGCAACACAGTAAAAATATGGCTTTGTGTGCTAAACATGCTAGAAATATGCTCAAACATGCTAGCAACACTTAGCTAAGTGCTAAAGCATGCTATTAATGCAGTGAAAGAGGAAGTTGATGTAACTCAAGCATGCAGTGTCCAATCTGCCTCAAACTTCACATGTTTGATTAGAGTCCTGGCCTGAAGACATCTACATACTCATATTCGATTACAGTCATAGCGCCACCAGCTGGCAGCAGGAAGATTGCCACATATAAATGACTTTGACATATTCCTCCTATATTGACCACTTTAAATCCATATTGCTCGCCGTTGACTGTTTTACTAAAGCCGCCCGCTGGCGGTGAGCCCGGGTGCGAGGGCCCGTTCATCGCTGCTTGCAGCTTTAATTTGATGTTACAATCACAGGCACAATGACATTTTAACAATTCCTTTTTCACGGTGATGGAGGCATTTTCCTTGCTGGTCATAGCATCATCACATAGTTTTCCGTTTCTAAACAATCATCAGCATAACACAATGGCACCAGGAAGCCAGATAACACCACAGAAAGCAATTCAGGAAAGGGGGTCGTGATTGGACAGTAACCACTCCAGGGCAGGCCAACATCTCAAACAGGACTCTTTAACCACAGACACTGACTGCACCTTCACTGAAGAATCTGCCATGTTACATAAACCATCCTCATGTCCAACATTCAGGAAGTCAGTGCAGCTTTAAAGCTAAACAACTCAGGAATCTGAGGGAACCGGCCTTAGATAGACTCCTTCTCTGACTTCCTTGACAAATCCCAAAGGAAGTGCTGGTTTATTTCTGTTATTCTGTGATGTCCCACCCAGTCCTGAAGAACCATATCTTTGCTGTCCCCCACCCAAAACATGAACTTATCTCCAGCAAATTTGACCTTTATTGTTTTAAGAATGACAGACCATAAACTTGACAGTTCTTGTTGATATTGAGAGACTGTAAATCTGCATTTACAGATTTTTTCCCAATTGCTTTGGCTCAGTTCTTCAATAGGATTTTATATTTCTCAAAACAGTAAGTTCAGATCTCTGAACAATTAGTTTTTGTTCATACCAGATTTGAATTTCTTATTAATTTAAGCATATTGCATGTTTTGGAAAATTAGTGTAAAAGAGTCAATATAATTGTTTACAATTTGCAGAATGCACATTGCATGCTGATCATCATAACTGATTATTTGATTCTCAGTCAAAAATTCTGTCATACAACTTCATTCAATTTCAATCGGATGAGCGACATAAAAAATGGCTGATTCAAATTATATATACAGTGGGTACGGAAAGGGGGTCTGAATACTTTCCGTACCCACTGTATATATATAAATGTATAATACATGAATACACAGGTTAATGAACTAACAAGGGAATGTCAATTATTTATTTGAATAACCATTAAACTTAATAAAAAAAAAAAAGTCGAAATGTGCATGCAGAACATCTGCTCAACAGATTCACTGACATCTAAAGAGGTTTCCGTGAAACCAATGCATGTGTCATATCAAAACAACACCCATTGCAGACATAAAAACACTCAACCATACAAAAGAACGACACAAAACACTATAAAACCACTGCAAATCTGGCCACGCTTCTAAATGCAAACCTGTCAATAATTGTCAAATGTTTTCAAACAAAAAATACTGGTAAACACCCCATTGCTGATGGTGCCTTCATTCTCCTGTCTATATAGCATGTTAGCTCCCTGCAAGGCAACATTGGGACCATAAAATGAGTACAAATAATGTTATTTCTCACCAATAACGATTCTCAGATGTTTCAGTCTTGTCAGCACGTCCTTCTTGGGGTCCAGCACTTTCTGTGTCGATTTCCTGACATCTCCATGAGTTTTTTTAGAGAACATTCCGGGATGTTTTGAAGAGCTAATGATAATCTTCCGTTAATTCCCTCAAACATGGAAGGGCTTGTCAAATTTACGGCTCGAAAGGTGTTATGGGTTGTAAGGAAACTTGAGGAAATAGAGGTGAGGCGTGCATTTTTGCAGAGGAGGTCAGACAAAAGAAAAGAGCAGCCAGCCCTCCTCTGTGTGTGTGTCTTCTGAACTACACACACACACCTCTCTGAAGATCTGAAAACATGGCGGAGGTCGCGATATGAAAAACATACGGTGGCCGAGAAGTGCTAAACAAATCACAATTCTGAAATCAAAATAACAAATTACAAACGCAAATGCAAGTTTAACAAAATAAAAAGCAGAGTCGTGGTAGAAAGTTCGGAGATGGTATTAAAGTAGCTCAGTTTAAATGTATTGTATGAATTGCCCTTACTATGGAATAAAACATACGGAGTGTATATTTACATTTAGTTAAAAGTGACTGATAAACATCAGTTCCAGTGGCGCAGATGGATAAGCACCTGCCGTTGGCTTTTTGACGCGATCGACTTGTTGTTGTGCTTTCTGAATTTTTATTTTGTTTTTTAGACTTGCATTTGCGTTTGTAATTTGTTATTTTGATTTCAGAATTGTGATTTGTTTAGCACTTCTCGGCCACCGTAAAAACACCTTAATCGAAGCCAGAGTCATTCAACGCTCAGACGTCATCTGAAGCACAATCACACACCAGAATCGACAGGACAGGAGAAACATTACACATTCATAAACAATATTTATTAATTAATTTTTAAGTATCAATAGATGATTGGACTTCATATTTGACAAAAAAAGTGTAAGACATTTCTAAACTGTTATAATGAGATATGTTTATTAGCCGTTATGTTTTTGCATTCATGTTTTTTTGTTTGTTTTATGTATTTTTTATGTAAGCTGTTTTAATTAATATACCATTTTCTGTTTTTCATTGTATGTTTTGCCTTTGTGGCTCAATAAAGTGTAAATATCTATTTGTTAAAACTGAATTATATCAATTTATTGTGCTCATTTCTTCAAGACTGAAAAAAAACGACTTTCCTTGCAGGAAAAAAACTTGGCAAACAGACAGAGGTTGACTGAAAAAATGCATAAAGTACAAAATAAGCATCTTTTTTGTGGTGTTTTATTACATATTTAAAAATATAAACGTATACTTAAATGTATAACTTAAATATAACATATACTTTAGAGTGAAATACATTATTTAATGAAATAATCAATTTAACCTCAGAATTTAACCTCTTTTTAATTTTTGTTGATTCATGAGGAAAAGTTTGCACGTTTCACTCCTATAAGTTCCAGATTTTTAATAATCATAAGATAATAGTGATATAAGTTGTAAGCTGTTTCCCTGCCCTGATACTGTTCTGTATTATTATATTCTAGCAAACAAGTAAAATGAATGAATTAATGAATGAATGAATTAATGAAAACACAATAAAACTTCAAACTTTATCTTCATTGTTTAGTTTTTCCAAAATAGGAAAAAAAAAGTATTTGTGTACTTTATATATTAAAATTTTTATTTTGAGTGACATATTCCTTTGAGAATAAATTAATAAAAAAGAAAAAAAAAACTTGACAGGTAAAAAAACATACATCAAAAGAAATAGAATTATGATCATGTTTGGAGATTCTGAATTGTTGTTGCACTGTGAAATTGTCTGAAAATGAAATTGGTTAAAACTGGTTAATAATAAATGAGATTTTATAAGTTTACTTAATACAGCATTTAAAACAACACAATCATTTCATCCAGTCGTCCATTGATTTATACAGCCTGTATTTGCAGCCGTAAACACGCTCTCCACAGGACGAGTGACGACGGGGAACTGTAGTTCTTTAGTCCACTAAGAACAATAGTACCGGAAGGATCGGTGTCACCATAAAAACTACAAACCCCAGAGTGCTACAACAGCGCACATTCCGCGCCAGTGTCCCAGTTTTTCAGAGGGTGGCATGGCTTAAAAAACAGCAAAACAGAGGGGTTTTTGTGGTTTGTAAATTATTAAAATAGGTCAAGCGATTGAATAAGCAAAAGCTGTTTTCTTTTCATCGTGTCTAGACTAATCGACAACTACTGGTAATTTGCAGGATTTGAACGTTTGTTAGCATGATACATCTAGATGTGTATATTGTCTGTTTTGTTTTTAGCAATAACATCAAGCTAACAAACACATCTGCTCACATAAAAGATTGATTTAAAGGTGAGAAGTAGTTCAGTTGATTTCTCGGTAGTCTAAGTTTAAAAAAGACGGGATATGCCAGTGCATTCGAGAGAAAAGAAGGAGAGCAACCATGAAGAGATGGAGGTGGATTGCGCAGAGCAAGAGGGGAGCAGCTCAGAAGATGAGGATACAGAGAGCTCTTCTGTCTCTGAAGATGGGGAAAGTTCAGGTGCGAATGAGACTTTTGATTTTCTCTAGGAAGATATACAGGAATAGATGGAAACATGTTCAAATGCATTGCAATTAAAATTGCAATACAAGAACCATGCAAAGAAGGGTTTGTTTCTTTAGATGAGCAGATTTGGAGAAATTTCGCCTTACATAATTTGCTCACCAGTAAATCCTTTGCAGTGAATGGGTGCCGTCAGAATGAGTCCAAACAGCTGATAAGTCTTTCATGTGACCCAAGCCCATCAATTAATGTATTGTGACAACACTCTCATTCTGACGGCACCCATTCACTGCAGAGGATCCATTGGTGAGCAAGTGATGTAATGCTAAATTTCTCCATATATGGTTTGATGAAGAAACAAACTCATCTACATCTTGAATGGCCTGATGGTGAGCGAATTTTCATCAAATCTTAATTTTTGGGTAAACTATTACTTTAAATGAATAAAAAAGAAACCATTTTTTACTCACAGAAATGGATGATGAGGACTGTGAAAGAAGAAGGGTGGAATGCATTGACGAAATGACAAATCTAGAAAAACAGTTCACTGACCTCAAAGACCAGTATGTACCATCCTCTTGTTTGTATTTAATCTGTGTATGAATATGTTATTTACAAGTGCATGCAAACTTTTCTTTAGGTTATATAAAGAGAGACTGAGTCAAGTTGATGCCAAACTTCAGGAAGTGATGTCGGGAAAGGCACTAGAGTACCTGGAACCCCTTGCAAATCTTCAGGAGAACATGCAGATTAGAACTAAAATTGCAGGTCGGTCTGATGTCCAAACTGAACATGGGATTATTGTTCTTTGAAATTGTGCATTTATATGAGTTTTGGTTTTTTTAGGTAAGAAAGTGCATTGTCTCATTGTTGAAATAATACATTCATGCATAGGTATCTACAGAGAATTGTGCTTGGAATCAGTGAAGAATAAATGCGACTGTGAAACCCAAGCAGCGTTCCAGCACTGGGAGGTGAGCTTTACAGATGTAATCTGCTATTACCTAAACAACGGTGCATGTCTGAAATGTCTTGTTGAGTCATCATAACAGAGCCATACAAGAATATTTATATTACTCGAAGCTGTTTTATACTCTAACAGCACTAAAAGCCTGCCAGTTACCACATTAAAACATGCATACATTTACATAGCACCTAGACCTCAGTTATCATGAAAAAAGCCAGAATATTTCAGTTTTGACAATATGGGACATTTAAACAAACTTTCAAAACTAAATACAATTCTAATTTGTTTAATTTGATCTCTTCTAGAGTGAAAAAATGTTATTATTTGATAAGGTGCAAAGTGAACTAGAGGAGAAGATCAGACGTTTGGAGGAAGACCGTCACAGTATAGATATTACCTCAGGTATTGAAATTGTGAATACTGTCAAATCATTTCATGTTTTTGTGTTATTTATTCAATCTTTGTCATATTTCCCCTACAGAGCTCTGGAACGATGAGTTACAATCAAGAACAAATAAGAAGAAAGATCCCTTCAGTCCAGACAAAAAGAAAAAGCCTGTCGTTGTGTCAGATATCCTTTACTTCAACCTGTTGTACATGCCTATAATCATCAGTCTATCCAGAATTTGCTTGAAAAGTCTGTCATTTGTAAGTTTCTTAACATGTGCACGACCATATATAGTTTACATGCTGCAAGACCTGGATATACTGGAAGACTGGACTGCTATTAGAAAGGTTAAACTGTCAAAAACAGAACCCCTTTTTTCTATGAAATGATAATTATTGTAAAGTAAATGATGTGTTTTGTTAATATCTTGTAGGCCATGGCAACATTAGGACCTCATAGAGTAAAGACCGATGGTAAGATCATATCTATTAGCTACTGTGTTTAATTTTCATAACTATATTGAAGTAAATTATTCTTCTAATGTAATATTACATTATTTATTAGTTAAATACTAAATGCTACAGTTCAAAAGTTTGGTCGGTTTGGTCTCTTATGCATTTATTCGATCAAAAACACCGTAAACATAGTAATATTGTGAAATATTATTACACTTTAAAATAACTTCGCTATTTTAATACATTTGAAAATGTTTTTTTTTTCCTGTGATGCAAACCTGAATTTTCAGCATCATTACTCCAGTGTTCAGTGTACATGATCCTTCAGAAATCATTCTGATACACTGATTTGCTGCTGCTGCTGCAGCAAAAAAAAAAAATCTTATTATTGTTAATGTTGAAAACATCTATGCTGCTTAATATTTTGGTAGAAATTGTGAATTTTTAGGATTCTGTAATGAATAGAAAAGTTAAAGGGGTCATATGATGCTTTTTTAAAGATCATTATTTTGTGTATTTGGTGTAACATAATATGTTGACATGCTTTAATGTTAAAAAAACACATTATTTTTCAAATACTGTACATTATTGTAGGTCCTCTATGCCCCGCCTCTCTCAAACGCTTCGTTTTCTACAAAGTCCCTCCTTCCGACAAGCGCAGTCTGCTCTGATTGGCCAGCTGACCCAGTGCATTGTGATTGGCCGAACACCGCAAGCACTCGTCGGAAATGTAACGCCCCTTACCATAATCGCGAGCTTCATCTTTCAAAATAAATGTAAAGACAGAGCCCGAAAGGGGAACAGAGTCGCGTGACAGACACAGTAATGATGCAGTACACAAGCCGCGGTTAAGACAGCTGACTCTACTGTGATGTGACGCTGTCTCTCTCTCTCTCTCTCTCTCTCTCACGCGCGCGCATGCACGCACGTACGCACGCACGATGCGCAAAACTCCGCATTTGAACAGTCAATAGCAAATACTTAAGCTAATAA